TTTCACTGTTGCCATCACCCCTCGAATGTTTGTTGATATGGTCTCTACTCACCGCACCATCACCTTCAAGGCCTGTGCTACCCAGATGTTTTTTTCCTTCATGTTTTGCTATACCCATTACTTCCTGCTCATGGTCATGGGCTATAACCTCTATGTGGCCATCTGTCACCCCCTGAGCTACAATGTGCTCATGAGTCCCCATGGCTATGCCCGTCCTGTGGCCTGGTCCTGGGCTGGTGGCTCTTTCATAGGGATGATGGTGACATCAGTAGTTTTTCATCTCACCTTCTGTGGGTCTAATGTGATCCATTATTTCTTCTGCCATTTATTCCCTCTCTTGAAGTTGGTCTGTGGGAGTGAGACATTGCCTGTCATTTTGTTTGTAATCCTGGTTTGTGTTACACCTCTGATGGGATGTTTATTCCTCATCATCCTCTCCTATGTCTTCATTGATGCTGTTATCTTGAGGATTCCCTCTGCTGAGGGTCCGCACAAGACCTTTTCCACATGTGTATCCCATCTCACTGTGGTGGTGGTGCACTATGATTTTGCCTCCATCATCTATCTCAAGTCCAAGGGCCCCCATTCTATTTACAGTGACACCATGATGGCCACCACCTATACAGTCTTTATCCCCCTTCCCCAGTCCTATCATTTTTAGCTTCAGGAATAAGTAACTAATAAATGCCATAAAAATTCTTGACTGCCACTGTGGTGGTGAAGAAAACATGATAGGACTATATATCTTCAAAAGACTTTTGTTAAGAAGCAGATCCATGAAATAACCATACTCTATAGGTTGCTCTGCATGGTATCTAAATGATTTTCTGCTATTTACTTCTCTTGTATAGACTCAGGTGATTATGATCTTTTGTTTATGTCCTACTGTGACCAACTCCATCCCACTATCTATACTTTAAAATTTGTTATATGTATATGAACAGGTGGACAACATCCCTTGGATGTATCTGGGCTTATGCACATGGTTATTCTTTAACGGACAAGTAGGGGGATACTTTATCCCATACTTGCCAATGTAAGAATGAACAAAAATAACATAAAGATAACAATAAATGCAACCCAGCTTTGGGCCTGTTCTATGTGTATGTACTGTGTCCATTATTTAAAATCATATTTTTTTAAATGAATATATGCATACAATGGAAAATAAATTCTTTTATCCAAGTTTGTTATATAGTTTCTCACTGTTGTTGGCAGTGGTAACCCTAGGAAAGACTTGTTTCTACCTTGAACAGAGTTAGTAATGAATGTCAAATGTAAAGTGAGAGAGTGAGATTAAGAGAGTTATGAAGAAAGAGAGTAGAATCATCATTAGTGGGAAGGAAGAATGTCAAATATCTATGGTTAATTGGATAAAATGATATGAGATAAAATAAGAAGAAAAAAGATACAGAAGTTGGTAATAGGACAATTTGTATATAACAAAGGAGAAAAAAAGGGAAAATGAGGGAGAAGGGAGGGTAGATAACAGGGAAGAATGTAGAGAGAGAGAGATAGAGAGAGAGAGAGAGAGAGAGAGAGAGAGAGAGAGAGAGAGAGAGAGAGAGAGAGAGAATATGCTGCAAAGTTTCAATGCTTAGGTAAGACATATTAACATTAACAAGATGTTACTGACAACTTATGGGAATCCCTTGCTTTTTCTCCCCCATAAGACTTTCATTCAAACATCAGTCTCTTATTACTATATTTAAATTATATCTATTGAGGATGTTTGAAGGGAAAAGCACTATCTCAAGATGCACAATGAGTGTTCAGATGCTTCCTTTGAGGGTACCACTATTATGCAGGTGAAAAATATTGATTAAGGCACCACAACTTGTGAATGAAGGGGTTTGATGTAACTTTCGGTCTATGTGATTCCCATGCTAGTGTTTCCAAATATTCTATGACTGAGAATCATGAAGGAAGCCTTCTGTGTGATGGAAATTTTGTAATTCAGAGGTGAACCGGTATAATTGAGTTGGTGGCAGAAGATAGAATGGTAAATACAATAATGGCGATCACATATCAAATTCCTGCAGCTATTCTCACTGGTGTAAGATGGTATCTCATAGTAGTTTTTTTAAATTTTTTTTTATTTTTATATTCCCAAACAATTGCAACCCTTTTTTTGACCCCAATCCCTCCCCCGCCGCCCCTCCCCTCATAAAGTGTCTCTGGTTCTAGTTGTTTGTTGATTATGATTTTCACTTTCTTATAGATATTCATTTTCCTGGTCCCTTATTTAGTTTTCTAGATTCCTGCTATGAGTGAGACCATCCGGTATTTTTCTTTTTCTTTCTGGCTTATTTCACTGTGCATGATCCCTTCCAGCGCCATCCATGTTGCTGAAAATTGCATGTGTTTATCTTTTATGAATGCTGAGTAATATTCCATGGTGTATATGTACCACATCTTCTTGATCCAGTCATCTATTTTTGGGCATTTGGGTTGATTCCAAAGCTTAGCTATTGTAAACAGTGCTGCTATAAACATAGGGGTGCAGGTGCTCTTTGGAGTTGATGTTTCTGTGTCCTTGGGGTAAATACCTAGGAGTGGAATTGCTGGATCATATGGAAGCCCTATCTTTAGTAGGTCCAGAATCTCCACACAGCTCTCCACAGTGGTTGGACCAGTTTGCACTCCACCAGTGCAGGAGAGTTCCTTTTTCTCCAAAACCTCGCCAACATTTGTTGTTGCTAGTTTTTTTTAATATGTGCCATTCTCACTGGTATTAGATGGTATCTCATGGTAGTTTTGATTTGCATTTCCCTGATTACGAGTGATGGTGAGCATTTTTCTATATGCCTGTTGGCCATTTGCATTTCCTCTTCAGAGAAGTTTCTTTTTAGCTCTTCTACCCATTTTTTGACTGGATTATTTTCATTGTTGTTGTTGAGTCTCATCAGCTCTTTGCAGATTTTTGTGATCAGTCCTTTATCATTAGTGTTGGGTGCAAAAATGTTCTCCCAGTTGGTGGGGTTCTTTTGTTTTATGTTATTGTCTCTTTTGCTGTGCAGAAGCTCTTTAATTTGATGTAGTCCCAGCTGTTATCTTTGCCTTCATTATCACTGCTTTGGGTGATTGTCTGTAAAGATGTCTTTGATGTGCATATCACATAGTGTTTTGCCTATATTTCCTTCTATGTATTTTATGGTTTCAGATTTTATGTCTAGTTCTTTAATCCATTTTGAGTTGATTTTTGTGTATGGTGTGAGGTAGTAGTCAAGCTTCATTCTTTTGCATGTAGCGACCCAGTTTTCCCAGCACCATTTATTGAACAAACTTTCTTTGCTCCAATGCATATTCTTTGCTCCTTTGTCAAATATTAGTTGACATAAATCTGTGGTTTATTTCTGGATTTTCTATTCGATTCCATTGGTCTGTGTGTCTGTTCTTGTTCCAATACCATGCACTTTTGATGATTATGGCTTTGTAGTATAGTTTGAAATCTGGGCGTGTGATGCCTCCATTCCCTTTTTTTTTTTTTTTCAGGAGAGCTTTGGCTATTTGGGGTTTTTTGGTGATTCCATATGAATTTCATCAATAATTGTTCTATTTCTTTGAAGAATAACATTGAAATTTTTATTGGAATAGCATTGAATCGGTATATTGCTTTTGGTAGGATGGCCATTTTAATAATGTTTATTCTTCCAATCCATGAGCAGGGGATGTCTTTCAATTTTTTGTATCTTCTTCTATTTCTTTTAACAGTGTTTTATAGTTTTCTTTGTAAAGGTCCTTTACCTCTTTTGTTAGATTTATTCCCAAGTATTTGATTTTTTTTTTGTTTCGATAATAAAGGGGATGGTTTTTTCATTTCTTCTTCTTCAGATTTATTGTTAGTGTATAGGAAGACTTCTGACTTTTGCATCTTGATTTTGTATCCTGCCACTTCGCTGAACTGATTGATGAGTTTAATTAGTTTTTCTATGGAGTTTTTGGGGTTCCCTTTGTAGATTATCATATCATCTACAAATAGTGATAGTTTGACTTCTTCTTTTCCTATTTGGATTCCTTGGATGTCTTTCTCTTGTCTTATTGCTTCTGGCTAGGACTTCCTACTATATTGAAAAGCAGTGGTGAGAGTGGACATCCTTGTCTTGTTCCAGATCTTAATGAAATGCTTTCAGCTTTTCACCACTGAGAATGATACTGGCTGTTAGCTTGTCGTATATGGCCTTTATGATGTTGAGGTATGTTCCTTGTATCCCCAGAATTTCAAGGGCTTTTATCATGAATGGGTGTTGCACTTTGTCGAAAGCTTTCTCAGCATCTATTGATGTTATCATTTGGTTTTTATATTTCTTTTTGTTGATGTGTTGGATAATGTTGATTGATTTTCAGATGTTGAACCATACTTGTGTCCCTGGCATGAATCCTACTTGGTCGTGGTGAATTATCTTATGGATACATTGTTGGATTCTGATAGCTAAAATTTTATTGAGGATTTTTGCATCAGTGTTCATTAGGGAGATTGGCCTATAGTTTTCTTTTTTTGTGTTGTCCTTGTTCGTGTTTGGTATTAGTGTAATGTTGGCTTCATAGAGTGTTTGGTATTATCCCTTCCTTCTCAATTTTTTTGAAGAGTTTGTGAAGGATAGGCACCAATGTGTCTCTGAATTTTTGGTAGAATTCATTTGTAAATCCATCAGGTCCTGGGCTTTTGTTTTTGGGGAGGTTTTTGATTACCATTTCAATTTTGCTAGTTGTAATTGGTCTGTTTAGGTGTTCTATTTCTTCTTTATCAAGCTTTGGGTGATTGTAGAGTTGTAGGAATTTGTCCATCTCCTCTACATTGTTGAACTTGTTTCATATAACTGTTCATAGTAGTTATTAATTATTCTTTTGATTTCTGCTGTGTCCGTTGTGATTTCTCCTCTTTCATTTATTATCCTGTTTATTTGTGCTTTCTCCCTTTTTTCCCTTGTGAGTCTGGCTAGGGGTTTATCTGTTTTATTTATTTTTTCAAAGAACCAGCTCTTGGTTTCATTGATCTTTTGGGTTGTTTTTTTAGTTTCAATTTCATCTATTTCTGCTTTGGTTTTTATTATTTCTTTTCTTCTACTGGTTTTGGGTTTTTTTTTGTTGTTCTTTTTCTAGATCTTTGAGCTTCGAGATTCGGTTTTTTCTTTGAGTTCTTTCTTGTTTCTTGATGTGAGCCTCTATTGCTATGTATTTTCCTCTTATTACTGCTTTTGCTGCATCCCATACATTTGCAAATTGGTGTCCTCCTTGTCATTCAATTCAAAGAATTTTTTAATTTCTTCTTTGATATCCTCGTTAGTCCAGTGGACTTCGAGTAGTGTGGGTTTCAATCTCCATGAGGTAGGAGTGTACCTTGCCTTCTTTTTATGGTTTATTTCTAGTTTGATGCCTTCATGGTCAGAAAAGATGGTTGGTATGATTTCAATCTTGGTGTATCTGTTGACGTTTGTCTTGTGCCCCAGTATGTGATTGATCCTGGAGAATTATCCGTGTGCGCTTGAGAAAAATGTATACTCAGATTTTTTTGGGTTTAGTGTTCTATAGATGTCTGTTAAGCCCAAGCACTCTAGATCTTTATTTAGAGCTTTAGTGTGTTTACTTATTTTTTGTCTTGTTGATCTATCCATTGTTGATAGTGGTGTGTTGAAGTCTCCCACTACGTACGTGTTTTCTCTGATGTCTGTTTTCAGAAATGCCAATGGTTGTCTGATATATTTTGGTGCTCCTTCGTTTGGTGAATATATTTTAATGAGTGTTATTTCTTCTTGAAGTATTGTCCCCTTGATCATAATGTAATGACCACTGGGGTCTCTTTTTATCTTTTTGAGTTTGAAATCTGTTTTATCTGATATGAGTATAGCTGTTACTGCCTTCTTTTTTGGTCTATTTGCTTGTAGAATTGTTTTAAATCCTTTAACTTTGAGTCTATTTTTATCTTTTGCTGCTAAATGTGTTTCCTGGAGACAGCAAAAGGTTGGGTTTTGTTTCTTAATCCAGCCTGGGACTCTGTGTCTTTTTATTGAAGAGTTTAGTCCATTTACATTTAGAGTTAGTATTGATATGTTAGCATCTTTATTTGCCATTGTGTTTGTCTTTCCTTTGATTTTATTTATTTATTCTTTTAATAACTTTTTTTTTGGCCTTCTTTTGTTGTTATTCGTCCCTCTGAGGTTCTGGCTTTAGGGCTCCTTGTAGTATTTTTTGGAGTGGTGGTTTAGTCGTAATGAAATTCCAGAGTTTCTGTTGTCTGGGAGGTCCTTATTCTTTCTTCATAGAGGAAAGAGAGCTTTGCGGTATAGAGTATTCTTGGTTGGCATCTGTTTTCTTGGAGTCTGTTGACTATGTCCCTCCACTCTCTCCTTGCCCGTAGTGTTTCTTTGGAGAAGTCTGATGTCAGTCTGATTGGTTTCCCTTTGAATGTTATCTGTTTCTTCCCTCTTGTCAGTTTCATTATTTTTTCCTTGTCCTGGATTCTTGGGAGCTTTACTATTATGTGTCTTGCTGTATTTTTCCTTTCGTCATGGAAGTTTGGTGTTCTTGCTTCTTGTATATCAATTTTCAGCTCCTTCTTCGCGTTTGGGAAGTTCTCTTCAATTATATCTTTGAATATTTTCTCTTTTCCTACATCTCTCTCTTCCCCTTCTGGGATTCCTATAACTCTTATATTTCCTTTCCTCATGGAGTCAGATAGTTCCCAAAGTCTTTCTTTGGTCTTTTTCCTTCGTACTTCTCCTTCCTTTTCTGTTTTAGTTCTTTTTATTTCTATGTCTTTAAGAGTACTTATTCGTTCTTCCATTTCATCTATTCTGCTTTCATTGCTTTTCCCAGAGTTCTTTAGCGCCTCCATTAATTCTTTGATCTCCTGTATTTCTTTTACTTCCCTCTTTAGAGACTCAATTTCATTCTTCTTTTCATTAATTATTTTTCCCTTATCATTGTTTTCCTTTATGACTTCTGTCAGTTTTTTAATCACGCAATTTTAAATTCTCTATCTGGAGGACTAGAAGTTCTTCCAGTTACTGTCGTTGCAATCTGGTAGATGGTTTTCTTTTTGCGGAGTGCTTTTTTGCTGAGGAGTTGCTGGGTTGCATATGGTTTTTCTACTCCCTACTGCCTATTTTCTAATTTGCCGTATTCCTTGTGACACTGTGTTGCTGGTACTGGCCAGCATCTTGGGCGACCTTCCCAGCTCACCTCTGGCTCCTCTGGGGAACTTCTGCTGGTTTTACACAGTCTCCACCAAAGAAAGGTCCCTGCTGCAAAATGCCTGTGCCGGGGACGCGCTCCCCTGCACACCCGGTCTGCCCCAGTGGTGGGTATCGCTCCCCTCTGGGCTGGGACTGCAGGCTAGAAGGCGCCTCGCATGGGCAAGCCTCCCAGCTTACCTCGGGCTCCTCAGGGAGCCTTCTGCTTCTTTCACACAGTCTCCACCAAAGAAAGGTCCCTGCTGCAAAATGGCGATGCGGGAACGTGCTCCCTTGCACGCCCAGTCTGCCCCAGCGGTGGGTGTCACTCCTCTCTGGGCTGGATCTGCAGGCTAGAAGGTGCCAGGCATGGGCAAGCCTCCCAGCTTACCTCTGGCTCCTCGGGGAGCCTTCTGCTTCTTTCACAGTCTCCACCAAAGAAAGGTCCCTGCTGCAAAATCTCATTGTAGTTTTGATTTGCATTTCCCTGATTTCAAGTGATGTTGAACATTTTTTCATATGCCTGTTGGCCATTTGCATTTCCTCTTCAGAGAAGTTTCTTTTTAGCTCTTCTGCCCATTTTTTGACTGGATTATTTTCTTTGTTTTTGTTGAGTCTCATCAGCTCTTTGTAGATGTTTGTGATGAGTCCTTTATCATTACTGTTGGGTGCAAAAATTTTCTCCCAGTTGGTGGGGTTTCTCTTTGTTTTTGTTATTGTCTCTTTTGTTGTTTAGAAGCTCTTTAATTTGATGTAGTCCCAGCTGTTTGAATGGCACATATTAAAAAAAAAAAACTAGCAAAAACAAATGTTGGCAAGGTTGTGGAGAAAAAGGAACACTCCTGCATTGCTGGTGGGAGTGCAAACTGGTCCAACCACTATGGGGAGCTGTGTGGAGATTTCTTGACCTACTAAACATAGAGCTTCCATATGATCCAGCATTTCCACTCCTAGGTATTTACTCAAATGACACAGAAACGGTAATTCCAAAGGGCACCTGCATGCCTATGTTTATAGCAGCACTATTTACAATAGCTAAGCTATGGAAGCAGCCCAAATGCCCAAAAATAGATGACTGGATCAAGAAGAGGGTGGTACATATACACAATGGAATATTACTCAGCAATCAAAAAAGATAAACACATGCAGTTTGCAGCAACATAGATGGAGCTTAAAGGGATCATGCTCAGTGAAATAAGTCAGAAAGAAAAAGAAAAATACCGGATGGTCTGACTCATAGCAGGAATTTAGAAAACCTAAATAAGGGACCAGGAAAAAGACTAATCAATGCAAAGTAATAATCAAAATTAACAAGCAACTATAAACCAGAGACACACTATGGTGAGGGGGGATTACGGAGGGGCAGGGAGAGGAAGAACTAGAGTCAAAATAAGAGGGGTGGGGTGCAATTGTATGGGGAATGTAACCAAAATGAAAATGGATACATTGTACAAAGATGAAAAAAGATGTAAGAATTATATAAAATAAAATATTAAAAAACACCAAATTCCTGCAGCTTGTCAACTATTGTGATGAATATTTCATGTGCATTAGTTCCTATAAATCACAAGGTAAGTTATCATCAACCCACATTCAAATATTATGCACATCTTTGTTGTCCATATTTTTGAAGTGAGGAAAATGCAAATCTGACAGATTAAGCTATGTGTCTAAGACCATACACCTGTGAAGAAGCAAGGCAGGAATTATGATTAGGAATGCAGGATTGGTGGTTAGGTGATGCAGGGAGAAGTTTGATTTGATCATGAGAAGGAGATTGTAATTTGAAGGCATGGACAGATTTCAAGAAAAGAGTGCAGCCTTGAGTACATACTACTTTCATATTGATGGAAACACTCTCCTGGAGGTATCTTTGAGACATTCTTTATCTGGCAATTGTCTACAGCCTCTTTGGGGGTTGATTTTATTATTTGTGGCAGGCTGAACAATGCCTTCATATGATATCCTCATCCAGACCTGTGAACATGGTCCCTTACCTGCAAAAGGGACTTTTCTGATGAAAGCCAGGGAAGGATCTTGTGACAGAGGGATTAGCCTGGACTATTCAGGTGAAACCATTGTGATAACCAATGTATTTATACAAGGGAGGCAGGAGGACTGAGAGACTGAGTGAAGTAGGAGCTGTAGAAATGGAACAAATTGGAATGATTTAAGGGAGAGGCTATGAGCTCATGAATGCAGGTTGTTTCTAGAAACCAGAAAAGCAAAGAAACAGATTTTCCAAAAGATCCTTTGGGAGAAACCAACCTTTCTGACATTTTAACGCAGGCCTCTTGAGACTAATTTCAGATTCTGATTTCTAGTTATAAAAGAAAATAAGTTTCCATTGCATTAAGCCACTAAGTTTATAAGTTTTGTTATAGCAGCCAAGGAAACAAAATGTTCCTTTACATGTGAAATTAATCCTGTTAAATACGATGTTTAATTCCTTAACAAAATCATTTCAAATCATACTCTTAGGCCATTATCTTTTTATAAAATATATTTTTATTGAACATTTTACACCGTTGTTCATTTTTTTCACAGTAGGGTTTGAAAGTGTGTCATTTTCTAATTCTTTGTTTCGTTTCTCTAAATTCCACCTGTAAGTGACATCGTACAGTATTTATCTTTCTCTGTCTGGCTCACTTCATTTAGAATAATCCCTTCCAATTGCATCTATGTTTCTGTAAATGGCATGAGTTTATCTTTTTTGATGGCTGGGTAGTATTCCATTATGTCTGTATACCACATCTTCTTGATCACTCATCTGTCCTGGGGCATTTAGGTTGTATCCATATCTTGGCTATTGTCAATAGTGCTGCAATTAACATAGAAGCTGTCCGTTCAAAGTAGATTTTTGTGTTCTTTGGGTACCTAAGAGTGCAATTGTTAGCTCATATGGTGGATCTACTTTTAGTGTTTTGAGGAATCTCCACACAGCTTCCTATAGGGGCTGGAGCACTCTAAATCCCCAAAGGTGTGAGAGTGTTCCTTTTTTCACAATATCCTTACCAGCACTTGCTGTATCTGGTTTTAATAATATGGGCCATTGTCACATGTGTGAGGTGGTATCTCATCGTGGTTTTGATTGCATTTTCCTGATGATAAGTGATGATGAAGATTTTTCATATACATATTGGCCACTGGTGTGTCTCCTTTGGAGAAGTGCCCATTTATCTTTTCTGCCCATTTCTTGATTGGGTTGTTTGTCTTTTTGTTGTTGAGTTGTTTGAGCTCTTTGTAGATCTTCTATGTTGGTCCATTGACAGATGTATGGTGTGAAAATATTTTCTTCTATTCAGTAGGTTGCCTCTTTATTATGGTGACTGTCTCTTTTTTTGTACAGAAGCTTTTTAGTTTGATGTAGTATTACTTGTTTTAATCTGTTTTTGTTTTCATGCTGGTGGAGATTAATCTCAAAGATATTTCTGAAATTTATGTCATAGAGTGTTTTTCTTATGTTTTCCTCTATGTTTTCAGGTTGTACATCCAATTTTTGTCCATTTTTATTTTTACATATGGTGTGAGGCAGTTATCTAGTCTTATTCCTTTACACAAGGAAATCTGATTTTCCCAACACCATTTATTGAAGAGGCTTTCCTTGTCCCAAGTATATATTTCACTCCATAGTCATAGGTCTGCTATCCAAAATGTGTGGTCTTATTTCTGGGTGGTTAATACTATGCCATTGAACTGTGTGTCTGTTTTTGTTCCATTACCATGCTGTTTTATTTACATTATGGCCTTATATTATAGTTTAAAGTCTAGGAGAGTGTAAATACAATTTCTCCCTTTTTGTTAGGAGAGTTTTGGTCCCCACTGTGCTATACTTTATTATTTCCAAGCCAGGACCAGAGCCTAGAGGGATGATTAAAGGGCCCTGAGCCCAGAAAAGGGGGGTTGACTTAAGGACACCTTCCTTCCCTGTTCTAATTAGAGCCTCCAAGTGTTTGGATGCTAATTGATGGAAGCAAAATTCAGCTTGAGAGATGTAATTTTCTGATGATCCTTTTTTTCTACATCAATATTCACCTTAACTGCCTTGCTTGTTGATGTAAGTCCAGTCTCTTCCCCAAGGATGTTTTCCTTTTCCTCCACCATAACACCCCACTCCCTAGTTGTCTCTGTCCAAAAGCCAGAAGGATCAAATCTGAAAGATAAGCCCTCTGCTTATGTATACTCTTAGGATTCAGTATAGACCATAGTGAAGTGAGATCCATGTTTCATCTTTGATTTTATTCTCCAGTCCTTCCAAACTTTCCAGCCCCTCCAGATCCATAACTGTTCTTGCAGTAAGCCATGCACGCGCTTGCACAAGCAAGCAGGGGCTGTTGCTTTCCACATGGAACACCCTTCCCTAACTCCTCTACATCCTCAGTTGTGACCCTTCCTCAGGAAAACCTTCCAATTACCCCATACTGGTCACCACCCCTATTATAAACTCTCATGACCCTTCCATTGTTCTGCATAGCTGTAATCACAATTTATCATATACATTAATTAACTTGGTTATTTGTTTAGGGTCCATGTCTTTGCCCTCTACTACATCATTTTTTGTCCATGAGATTAGGAATCACATTCAGTTCAACACTGTGTTCCTGATGGCAACTCAAAATGTGCTTGGCACAGGGTACTTGCTCAGTAGTTTTTAAATGAATACTGAGGGAATGGCATTCTTGGCACTGTGAAATTTGGGACTGTACGATGAGTCTGTTTGTGTCTTATATGATGTCGGCATCAGCCCTCACCTCTACCACTAGAAATTGTAGCATGTTTTCCCCTTCTTCAGTTGTAACAACCATATATAAAGAAAGAAGGAAAAGCATTACTTTGAGAGATCTAGAAGGTGTATGGGACAAAATTTGACCACTGGATGCTAATTGCTAAAGGCAAAGTTCAGTTCAGACAAATCTTTTGTTTTCTAAGGTCCAGTCAGATGATGAAAATTAAACCTCAGCAGACCCAATAGAACGTGGAAGATACTAATTGAAAAAATCAAAGTAGATAAAGTTTTTTACTGTAAAAACTACAGTCAGTGAGTTTTGGCTGTCTTTGTTATTTTTTTTCTCTATGCTCTCTCTTTAAAAATTAACACTTTATATCTTGCTTGCCACAGAAGTGAATGCTAATTTTCAAAAATACAACCTGATCTTGGTTTTGAAAAATTCTGTGTGAATTGCCACTACTTTTAATGAATAGACAGAAACTAAAATGTTGAGGACTATTTTCAGTGCCTATAGTTCCATTAAAAAGAAAAATTGAAAACATCTAAAAATTAGCTCAATAAATCACTCTGTCCTTATTGTTTGAAAGAAAAAGTTAAAGATGATCAACCATATTTCATTTAAAATACATCTTTATCTCCTTGAACTTGTGGAGTCTACCTTTTTTGAGCCACAGAAGTCTTACTTATCCAATGTTTCTTGCATTTGAGTTCTTTTGTGAGTTGCGTTTTATTTGGCATAGTTACTGCAACCACATGGGGGAATGTACCTTAGAACTTCAGTTTACAGGTGAGAAAAACTATCACTGAGACATCATATTAACTGACTTGCAACAAAAAGCTAGCAGGAAGATTTAATCATCCATATTTCATGAAAACAAAACTCAGACTCAAGGGAAAATTGAGTAGATGAGAGACACTTAGCTTATTTGTGGGAAAAGGGAAAAGTTGAACCAAGTCTATTATATTTTAAAGGTAATACCCCCAAATCATGGTGAAATTGCAGTTATTATGTTCTTGGACCAATATGGACAATATGTTAATACAATATCCACATTCCTAGTTATTTAAGACAAATATCACCTCATCTGAGTACCAGCAATGCCACCATTTACTCATTATTTTTCTTTTCATTGTTCTTTTTTAAATCTAGCAAGCTTTCATTGTAGTGAATAGACCACTGTCATACTTGAAAACAAGAAATACTTGACATAGGTAAGTGGGCACCAGGAACATATTTTCCATTTTCCCACCTGACCCCACCTGAAAAGGAAGACAAGAATAAAAAGAGCATATCATGAAAATAAAAGAGTGTTGTTTATGCTTAGGCTAGCTACTTTTGTATCCTCATTTTCAAGGGAATTTATGTCAAAAGTGTTAAAGACATTGTGGCAACTAACCAAGTATTCTCAGGTTTTAATCAGGAGGGTGGAACCATTGAAATGGGACTGAGTTATTACTATTGTGAATATGGACCAAGAATAACCATGCTGAGTTCCAATTTTGTGAAGTAGTAGTTTATTTGAAAACCAGTTTGGTCTATAGTCATTGAAGAGGCTTAACAAAATGGGTCCCACTGAGAAGTTTTCTGAGGGCACTCTTCAGATCTCGGTTCCGCAGGCTGTAGATGAAGGGGTTCAGCATGGGGGTGACCATGGTGTACATCACTGTAGCTGCCATGTCCCTCTGGGTGGTGTGAGTGGATGTGGGGCTGAAGTAGACCCCAATGATAGTGCCATAGAAGAGACAGACAACAGAAAGGTGAGAACCACAGGTGGAGAATGCTTTCCACTTTCCACGGGCTGAGGGCACCTTCCACACAGCCATAGCAATAGGGGTATAAGATGCAATGATACATACAAAGGGGATCAGGACCACTGGGCCCCCAAGGACCAACACCATTATCTCATTGATATGGGTGTCAGAGCAGGAGAGCTTGATTAAGGCATTGAGGTCACAGAAGAAGTGTGGGATCCTATTGGTGCAGAAGGACAGGCGTGTCATTAGAATAGTGTGGACCATGGCAATGAGGTTCACTGAGATCCAGGGTACCATCACCAGCAAGGCACACCGGAAGATGCTCATGATTGTCATGTAGTGTAGTGGGTAGCAGATGGCCAAGTAACGGTCATAAGCCATGGCTGAGAGAATAATGCAGTCAGTGCCTGAAAAGACGATGAAGTAATACATTTGGGCCAGGCAGGCTGAGTAGGAGATGGTGTTGGTCCCACAAAGGTGGTTTACCAGCATCTTGGGGATGGTGGTGGAGATAAAGCAGATGTCAAGCAGAGACAAGTTGCTGAGGAAGAAGTACATGGGGCTGTGGAGATGAGGGTCTGAAACAATGGCCAGGATGGTGAGGAGGTTCCCCAGAGACCCAATAAGATATAGGCTAAAGGACAGTGCAAATAGCACCTGCCGTTGCTGGGGTTGTTCAGTAAGGCCAAGGAGGATGAACTCGGAGACTTGGGTGTGATTGTCCATGCCAGGGAGCTCTAAAGCCAGAAAGAAGGACATCAGTGGTTGGTGGACTCAGAGGGAAGGGTAAGTTCACCTCATTGATGCACTGCTGACCCATCTTTCAAGATGTATCTCAAGTAATCTCTCATGCCCTCTGTTTTTATCTGTTATTGGGATCAATAATTTCAGAATCTTAAGTTTATTATACATATTAAGTGAAAAATATACATAAATACCTCAAATCTGTTGCAATATAGAGAAATATTGTGGGAACCCTTGGTGATGCTAGTGAAATAGTTACACACTTTGATTTCAAGGAAATAAAGATCCTCAATTAGTGGAATAGAACTGAGTGCCCTGAAATAAATCCACACATATATAAAAAAAAATAAACAATAATAATTTATAAAAAAGTAGCCAAGACCATACAATGTGAAGTCTCTTCAAAAATGGTTGTAGAGACAACTGGAGAGTCACATGCTAAAGAATAAAACAAGATCCCCATCTTAAACATACACAAACATTAAGTGAAAATGGATTAAAGCCTTGAATATAAGACCAGAAACCATAAAATTCTCAGAAGATAGGTTATCAGCTGTTTGACATTGGCCATAGTCATGTCCTTGTGATGCTGTCTTCATGGGAGGGAAAACAAAAACAAAAGGAAACACATGGGAAAACATCAAACTAGAACATGTCTGCACATCAAAAGAAACCATCATCAAAACAAAGGGCATTTTTCTGGTCCCTTATTTAGGTCTTCTAAATTCCTGCTATGAGTGAGACCACCTGGTATTTTTCTTTTTTTTTGGCTCATTTCACTGAGCATGATCCCTTCCAGCGCCATCCATGTTGCTGCAAATTGTATGAGTTTATCTTTTTTGATTGCTGAGTAATATTTCAAAATGACAAATTATATAAAGTAAAAATCAAAATCAACATGCAACTATAAACCAGAGACACACTATGGAGGGGTAGAAAAGGAGGGATTAGGGTCAAAATAGGGGGGTGGGAATTGTATGGGGAATATAACCAAGAAGAAATGCATATATTGTGCAAAAATGAAAAATGATGTAAAAATATATAAAATTAAAAAAAAAAAACAACAACACAAAGGGCAGCCCAGTGAAAGGGAGAAGACAGTAGTAACCCATATCTGCCAAAGGCTTGATATCCAAAATACATAAAAAACTCACACATCTGAACAACAAAACAACCCCCACAATGGACTATGGTGCAGAATGTGGGTGCTCTGGTGGTGGGTGTGGTGTGGTAACAGCACCTGAAGGGGCGCTCCTATACTTCTATATCACAGACAACTCTTTCAACCAATGTTAAATAAAACCAATGTTAAATAAAAATCAAAATACTGTATGCTTCCTTAATGGCAGAAAATCTGACAATCTCCAGAGGAGACATGCAAAGGCCAACAAGCACATGAAAAGAGATTCATCATCACTTGTTATTAGGACATAGAAATCAATATCATAATGAATACTACCTCAGTTAACAAACAAGTATTATTGGCTGGGATGTAGAGCAATGTTAACCCTCGTACTCAGTGGGTGAGAATGTAAACTGGTTAACCACTATAGAAGCAGTATGGTGATTCCTCAAAAAATTGAAAATAGAAATACCATATGACATAGCTATCCCACTTATGATTACTTACCCCAAACTTAAGTTTGAAGAGACATATGTCATATTATTTACAATGGTCAAGAATGGAAAAAACCTAAGAGCCCTTTGATAAATGAATGCATAAAGAAAATGGTATATATACATACTCGATACCACTGCAATAAAGAGTTGAAATCGTACAATTTTCCTCAACAAAGAAGAACATTGAGGATATCATGCTAAGTGAAACAAGTACAGTGGAAAGAGACAAATGATGATTTCATTCACATGAATGACACCTCTGACACTCAGTTGTGTGAGCAAGTGAAAGAAACTCCCAGAGTCTCAGTTTCCCAGGATAGCAAGAGGAGTATGGGGCTTTAGCAAAGGAGGGCTTTTTTTCTGTTTGTTTTTTAAGATCACCAGTCTGGAATGTTCCAGAAACATGCATATTCCATACCTGTTCCTTGTAGCATTATGGGAAGATGTACAGGTTATTACCTAATTAAATCTTGGGGGTAGGTTATTCACAATGGGTTTTAGTGTCACTCATTTTATGCTTCAAGGTGTGAGATAAACACCTCTAATTTGTCCACAAATTCATCCCCATTGACCTTATGGGGCATGAATGACTCTGAGACTGGTGTCCACTGGGCAGGTCTTGGACTCTGAGTTATTCAATTTCAGCTAAGCTATGCTGCAATAACAACATGGCTGGGCAGCAGCAAAGGATTATCTAACTCAGGCTGCAAGTCCCTCACAGTTGGCTAGGGACGTGCCCTCTGATGAATTCATTCCAGGACTCATCAGTTTGGTTAAACCTTTGTCCAGAACATTTCCAATGACTGCAGGAGTTGGAAAGGTAGATCATAGGCTGGTGCCTAAGAGCATCTTCCAGGAACCCCCCTCCTCCTGTAGCAGTTCAATGGCCAATCTGTGTTTTCAGGGGAATAGAGAGGTGCAAATCCTTCCCAAGGCAGCAGGAAATATTTGTGAAGAATAATAGACTCTCCCAATATTTTCACTTGCCATCTGACTGCAGTTGAGTAGAGATGGTTTCATGCATCATTTCTGTGAGGCAACCTGTCACCTTTTATATTCTGAACCCTTGTTCTCAGAAACTAGGAGTGCGGTTTACCCTGCAAAACTCTCATGTAGACCACTGTATGCTCAGGTACACCTGAGACATGAATGTTTATAACACAAACTCTAGTGGCAGGAGCGTGGAGCAGGGATACAGTTCTTTTGCTTACTCTACTCCCTCACACTTCTCAGTCAATGTCAATGAATTCTAGTCCAGTATACCTCTCCCTCCAATCTCCTCCTTGATTATCCTGTTGTTTCCTGCACACTTCTCAGACACCCCTCAGCTGCCTCAGTCTCCTGAGATCCAAAGTAGGAGCTCACCCACAAAGTTACTGAGTTTGACATTGGGACTTGTGTATTGCACAATTCCATACTTGAAAGTTTGTGCAACCCAGTCAAAGAGACCACATTTTCCTCAAAGTCTCTCTCACCTCTTACATCCCATTGATTCCTAACTTGCGGGCTTTGTATAGAAATAAACATATCCTTTATGTTGAGCATCTCAACTTAGACCACTATCCTCTCACCTGGATGACCACCATGCACTGGTCTGCCATGTGGACCTTTCCTCCATCTACAGTCCATTCTCCACACTTCAGCTGGAGCAACCCTATGAAAATGCAAATAGAATCCTACCCCACATCACCCTTCCCGACTCATAACTGCTCTTCATGCTCCCAGAGTTTGTTCGGTTCCATTTTCCTAACTATGTTCCTTGCTTTTGAACCTTTCTTTGAATCTGCTGCTCCTTCTTCTGAGAACATGCTAGTCCCTCATTCACATCACCTACACTTCAACTTCTGAAAGCATCCCTCCTGATATACCCTCTGTAGGGTCGAGGCCAGGGGCTCTCAACATGGGCATCATTCTTTGTGTGGGCACTGCCCTGCTCAGTGTTTTAGAATGTTGAGCAGCATCCCTGGCCTTGATCCACTAGGTGTGATACCCTTTCCACCCCACTTATGACAAGGAAATCATCTTGAGAGCCGATGGAGGGTAGAAATGACCCAGTTGAGGATCTCTAAGGGAACTTAAATACCCTTACGCTTTCCTGCACATCTCCACTGACAATGGAGCAGGACAGTGACTTGTATTTGATGCAAATCCACATTTGAGCTAACCACTTGACATATACCTCACTGACCCCTCATGAGGCAGGCAGCCAAGGCTCAAAAACTAATTCCTACTCAGACTCTTGTTCTGGAACTTACTCCCTTAACTATTCACAATGAGCTGTTCACCCATGAGTCCCTGATGCAGAGAACCACAAGTCCTTGTGGTGAAACTGAGCAGATAAGCCCCCAACCTCTGAGGGAAACTTTCAGGGAAGGGGAGACCTGAGACCAGCACTAGGCAGTTTTCTCCCTGAGACACTTACTTGAAAAGTGGCTGATTCACTTCTGTCAACTCCCAGGTGTCCTGTTGCCAGGGTTCAGGGGCTGCTGCGGCCTCAACTTTGTCTTGTGGCTTTGGAGGAGGGGCATGCTTTCTTGCTTGCACGCTTCAGAAACACCACCAGCAAGTTTATACAGGACCCAGGTCTCAGGGGGGTGATTCCCAGAGAACCTTGTTAGAACAAAGACAATGAGCTCATCTTCCTCATTGGAGCCTTTGAGCCCAGCTCCTCATGGGAAAGAATTTTGTCCCAAGAGCATTGGATTTCTACAGACCTGTGTCTCTTGTTTGACAGAGAGAGTATGGTGTCCAATTTTTTCTAAGGAGGAGTTAAAAGCATATATCATTCCTAATAATACTTTTATTGTATTAGGTATTTATTGTGTGGTTGAAATTGTTTAAGCCTGCAATGCCTTATAATTCTCATGAAAGGGCAGTGAGGTGGGAAACTGAGACTCTCACTTGACCATCATCACGCAGCTTGATGTGGCAGATCTTGGATTCAAATTAGATGGTCTGGACCAAACCAATAACAGAAATGACTCTGGGCACACAAAGAAAATCATTCCTTTGTCTCTATATGTATACTACAGTTTGTTTATCCATTACCTGCTGATGGAAACGAGGGTTGCTTCCATTATTGGGTGTTGGGAGTAGTGCTGCTGTGAACATTCATGTGCAAGTGCCTGTTTGAGTACCTGTTTTCAGTTCTTCTAGGTACTCAGAAGTGGAACTGCTGGGCCTTATGGTAATTTTATACTTCACTTTGGAGGAACCACCAAAGTGTTTTCAATAGTGGCTTCTCCCTATCACATTTGTACTAGCAGTGTCTAATGGTTGCAATTTCTCCACATAGCTGCTAACAGTTACCTGTTTTGATTTTTAAAGAATTTTAGTGATTCTGGTGGATATGCAGTGGTATC